TACACATACACACACACACACACACACACACACACACGAAATGAATAGACAGACACTTCTCAGAAATAATACCAATGAATAAATAACCAGTAAATACATGAAAAAAGGTTCAACATCGCTGGTCATTAGAGAAATACAAATTAAAACAAAACTGACATTGTAATTCTATTTTACTCCAGAAAGAATGGCCATCATCAAGAAATAAAAAAATTAACAAATGCTGGCAAGGCTGTGGGGGAAAAGGAATGCTTTTACATTCTTCGTGGGAATGTACTAGTGTAATCACTATGGAAATCAGTATGGAGATTCCTCAAAAAACTAAAAACAGAAATTCCATTCAATCCCTCATTCCCCTACCACCCATCTCCCCAACAGAGTTATCGACATTAAATACACATACATACCCTTGTGTATAGCAGGACAATTCGTGATAGCTAAATCTTGGAAACTGCTGTGTGTCCACCAATGATGAATGAATAAAGAAAATGTGGTACTACACACAACGGAGCACTGCACTTGTGTGCCCACACAAACTTTTTTCCCTACATCTCCAATGTACTGAATTGCCTCTTTACCCACAGGCTTGAAATGAGGTAGACAATCCAGCCCTGAAATCTGAGTTCAGAAATTAGATATTCTGATTCTGTCATCTAATTTTTCCCCTTCCTTTTCTATATCTGATCTGCCTTTAGACACAGCGATAGGGCAAATTAGTTTTAAATAAAGTGCTAAGCAGAAGAATCAGGATTTAGCAAAATTCATCCCCACAAGCAAACCATTAAAATCACAGATGGTATTCAAAGTAGCATTAACAACGTTCGTGTATTTCTGGCCCAGAGTTTACTTCTGGTTGGTAAAATTTTTTGTTGTTGTTGTTTATATGTCAGAGGTAAGATGCAAACCAGAATATTCAAAATATTTATTTAGCCAAGAGATTCTTTTTAAATGCACCAGGCAATACTTAACACTTAGTTAAAAAAAAAAAACCCAGCATTTACTTAAAACCTTCTATACTCAAAAAACTTAATAAAGATACACAAAATCTTTCTGTAGGACAGAAAAAACTCAGGAGAACAAGGTCACCAAACTAACACTAACCTTTAGGAATTAGGTATTTTATTTATTTTAATAGCAAAACATTTATTGGTACATTTTATTTTTGGTACCAGGTATTGAACTCAGGACCTTGTGCTTCTGAGGCAGGCAGCAGAACCACTGAGCTAAATCTTTGGCCCCTATTGGTACATTTTAGGCATACATAATGATAGCACTCATCATAGGGAATTTGCACCTGTACACGCTACCTCCTACCTCTTTTTCCCATTCCCTTCCTTTCCTCATATCCTTCTCCTCCCTATGTACCAAAGTTGTTTCCATTTTTTCCTTCTATTTTCACCTTTTTTCTTATTCCTTCCTTCCTTTCTTCCTCTCTCCTCCCTGTTCCCCTTCCCATATGAACACTTTCTTCCCGTTTCCCAATACCTACTATACATTTCAGTCCTTATTTCACTTAAGAGTACGTTCTCAAGGTGCATCCATTTAGCTATAAATGTCTGAAGCTCATCCTTCTTTATGGCAAAGTTGCACTCCACTGTATAAAAAAAACCCACATCCTCTTTGTCCATTCATTGGTTGATGGGCATTTGGGCTGTTTCCAAGATTTAGCTAACATATACTGTGCCACTATAAACACAGATGTGCATAAATCACTGTGGTATGATGCTTTTAATTCTTTCGGGAAGATACCAAGAAAAGGAATAGCTGGGTCAAATGGAACCTTTAATTTTAGTTTTTTGGGAAACCTCCCCACTGTTAGGAATTGGGTATTTTAATGCTTTTAATGCTTGTTGGAAAAACCTTCAGTGTTATGACTCCGGCTCTTGCAAAAGCATAATGTTGATAAAAATCAATTCCTATCTTAAAAATAAAAAACGGATTTTTAATTTCAAATCATTCAAAATCTTTTTCAAATGAATCTCTGAATCTTACTTGTTTGTTCAGGATGCCTTTGCCATCTGTGTCAGCTAAATCCCAAATCTGAAAATTAGAGAGAAAAACAAGAAGCCATATTTTTAATAGAAATTATTTTAAAGATTAATTAAATCCCTGCACTTTATAGCCTCATGTTCTCTGATACTCAGATCTAAGAATAATGGAAATAAAAATGAAAAGAATCCTTAAAAATAATTTGGTGCAACTCTTCACAAAGATACTAAGAACCCATGAGGTCAGAACGGACTTGGCTCAAGAACATTTAAGGTATCAGGGCTTAAAGAACTGAAACACAAGTTCCAACTTCCAATCAAATGCCTTTTTCAAGAACCCAGGTTTTAACTCTAAATCAAATAGTGCTTTCTGCTAAAATATACTACATGATTTTAGATCTTTATTAAGATGATATTATTTCCTAAGGGCAAGTTGAGAGGTTAATGTTTATTTGTGAATAATTAAGTTATTAATAGAGATTTTTTTTCAGGATTTTGATTATATTGTATGATATATAAAGATTTGACAGGAGGGGCTTTCCATCTCTTTGCTCTCTTTCCAAAGTCTCCCAACCCCCCTCTCTATTCATCACACATTAAACAAAAGACAGTTATACAGAGGGAGCAGGGATAGAGCCAACTCTTTTGAGTGGGTGGCAAAGTTCCCAGTCTACACTGTAACTCTCCATAATAACCAAATACTTTATACTGTACTATTATTTCCTCATTTCATCCTCCTCAAAAGTAATTTGTTTCTAAAACTCTCAACACCACTTCACTCTTCCAGAGGGTAAATCACTGTATCACAAATTGCCTCATTCTATTGCATCTATAACTCAGTTCTAATTACTTGATGGTCTCTTTCTAGATTTGCATCCAGGGCGGGGGATTTGGCTCTGTGGTTCCACCACCTGCCTCAAAAGTGCAAGGGCCAGAATTTGATTCCCAGTACCCCCAAAATAAATAAATAAATAAATAAATTTGCATCCAGTTCACCCATAGTTCTACACACGCATTATAATTTAGTTACAATAAACATACTACCTTTCCAAGTATCAAGTCTGGAAGCCCTGATTTTTTCAGGAAAGCAGCAGCATCTGAAGCCAACACCCTTCCAGTATTGCTCGTATCAACCTGAAAAAGATAAAAACTATAATCTTACAACAAAACACAAAGGGAAAATTGCTACCATTTATCTACCTTCTATACCTGTGATCTTGGAATTCATTTTTTAAAAAGGAACAACAGAATCTTTTGACTAAGGAGGGCAAAGAAGTATGTACAAAATCATTTGAGTAAAGCACCAACTAGACAACAGCCACAATCTGCAAAGTGTTTTTTATCATGGCTACTATACAAAACTGAAAACCGAAGCTCAGAGGAAATAAAGTAAACTAGTAGAATCAGAACATCAACACCTATCTTCTGATTCCAAATTTTTATGGTTATTTATTTAGGTACCAGGGATAGAACTCAGGACCTTGCACTTGCAGGCAGGCGCAGTGCCACTAAGCTAAATTCTGGTTGTTATGGTTGTTATTTAAACCCCAATACACTTATGGCAATAGGAGAGAAAAGGAAGCATTTCCTGAAGAGTTTTTGGCAAATAGGAATAGCCACATATGTCATCTCTCTCTTCAGCTTCAGACCATCAATTGCTGAAAAATTGTAGCACTTGAAAAAATATCAAATCAATATCAACTCTAACCAGCACAAATTCAATGATAAACTTTAAGAAGCAGCTCTGAATTCTAAATTCCTACAGCAAAATTAAAGGAAACATCATTTTAACTGATGGGACTTTCCATTAAGATGGAATAAGGTCACCAACAACAGAAAATATGACTTCCCGAAATATGACTCTCATTTTTTGTAAAGACTTCCTAAAGTTCTGTTCGTTAAAAATGAAAAGTAATTGCTGGGGATTTAGTTCAGTGGTTCCAGTGGCTGCTTTACAAGCACAAGGATCCGAGTTAGATCCCCAGTACAAAAAAAAGAAGGAAAAGTAAATGTTTAAGTCATGGGAAATGTAACATTATCCTAGGATATTTGTGAAATAGGTATATTTCTAGTTTAGTTAAAAGATTAAGTATACTTACTATAAACCTGCAAAATATTTTAGACAGTTCGATCTCAGCAAAGCAAAAAAGAAACCCTTTCTTTCAAGTGCTAAGATATGGGAGAACCTAGGTACTTAGCAAAAAAGAACTGCCTAATCTTCAACTTTGAGGTAAAAAAATCCACAATTTAGTAGGCTCTGTCTCTGTTAAATGAATAAAATTGTTTTCAGTGGTATCTGATTCTCATTGGCCCATCAAATCCAAAAACAAATACCTTTACATTTTATGGCAATACAGTTTAATAACAATTTATTCTGCTTTTTAAAGGATATAATTGGATAAATCAATTGTGTAAAACAAGGCCATATTTGACCTTTTTATTTAGACAGAAGATGGTATTAAAGAACACTGATTTTATGGGAAGCCAGTATCTATAAATCCCTTTTCAAAAAAGTGGCCTTGTATCTGTCTATAAGGTCCTACCCTTATAGTAGTAAGCAAAGTCAAAAGCTCCACGCTAAGAACCTTAGCTATATGGAAAAATTTAAGAGGAGATAATTTCTAATTTGTACATACAGCTGGAGGAAATATGACAGAGACAACATCTAAGGTTTAGATATTAGCTTCAAAATAAAGGATCAAATAATAGAAGCTTTAAAAATGTACAATCAAGCTGAGCACAGTAGTATACACATTTAGTCCCAGCTACTTGTGAGGCTAAGGCAGGAAGATCGCTCATGTCCAGGAGCTCTAGATCAGTATAGACAACAAAACAAGATCCTAGCTCTTAAAATATTCATATAAATTAAAAATATAGTTAGATTCTAAAAAGTTTTCAAGCAGAAATTAATTCTCTGGCCTTAGACATTGTTAAATAATGTATGGCTCTAGATTTCCAAGTCAAGACCAAGGAAGCCTACAATAGTTAATTACTATTTGCTGCAAGTATGTAGACAGCCAAGCCAAATCAGCTTCTTCTGTGATTATGATGACAAGGTAAGGATGCTTTTAGGAAAAATGATCTAATACTTGAAAATGGCAAATGAGATTATCTATACTACTCTCAGGAGATTTGATCTACAGAATAAACCCTTGATTAACTGCACTGAAAAGACTACTTTATACGCTATAGGGATAATGGTTAAGTTACAAAAACTATTAGCAATGCAAATGATCCCTATCCATACTAACACAAATGAATTTTGTCTGGTGAAATATGAATTTCTGTAACTTATATTTTCATTTTTATGTTTGATTGGTTTCTGCAATAATTAATGAGTTAAATAAATATCCTTGATTCTTCTTTTCTGTGCACGTGTGTGGTTCAAGGGATCACATCCTAGGGATCATACCTGATCCCTAGTACCCTAAACATTTGCTCTACCACTTAGCTATAGTCTCAGCCCCTGTACTCCCTTTAGATTTGTATGAGCCATGGTTTCAGTTTGTAAAAATTACACTTTTAGTAAGTCTTTAAAAGATACAGAGACCATTTTTATTTGGCTTATAAATTATTTTGATATTTACATCTGAATGAACATACTTGATGTATAGATTTTGAACACAGATATTTTCCTTTATTTTTCTGGGAGCTTGTCAAAGGCACTGAGTAAAAGTTAGAGGCTAAAACAAAAGAAGCTGAAAGCAAGATAAATCAGATTTATCCAGCTAGCTAGTATTCTACATACACACAGTACACAGATGACAGTATATTTTATGTTCAAATTAGGAACAATGAAACAAAACTCTTACCTGTCTATAGTACTTTTCATATACTGAATTCCCACTTGATAACTGAAATAAACAAATGATAATTATATTCTATCCAATAACTTCTATTACTATATTGTAACACTCAATCAAAAGATATCTGAGAAACCAAGATGACTAAGATAAAATACCCTTGATTTCAAATTTAGTTTTAAACCAGGCGTGGTGGTGCACACCTGTAATCCCAGCACTCAGAGGCTGAGACAGGAGGATTGCTGTGAGTTCAAGACCAGCCTGGGCTACATAGTGAGTTACAGGTCAGTCTCAACTACATAGTGAGACCCTGTCTCAAAAAACAAAAAAACAAAACAAAACAAAAAAAAAGAAGTTTAGTTTTATTTCTTCTTTGGAGGACAAGAGGGAGAATGAACAAAGATAGTCACACAACTTAGAAAGCATCAAGCAGACAAGAAATGAAACAAGAATCTTAAAATCATTTCTGATATTGTAACTTTTTCTCATGCAAAATTTTACTTTTTCTCATCTAATATATAGCAAGTCTGGGATGAAATGTTTTACTTATAGCCAGTTGGGAGCCCCAAAATCTCAATCACTCATCTCCCTCTCAAGGGCTAAAAGTACCTAGGAATTCAGTCCAAAAACCACTTCAATAAATAACTGGATTGAGAATGTAACTCAGTTGTATAGCACTTGCCTAACATGCACAAAGCTGTGGGTTCAACCCACGAAACTATAAAAAGTCACTATAAGTAAAAATTAAATGAATGAATAAATGATACAAAAGATGATACTGATGTCATTATATACAACCTGTTTGCACAAAGACAGGCAGTGCCATTCAATTCACAACACAGTTGAGAGGGTTCTATGGTCAGCTCACGAAAACATCTCAACTGAAAGGCAGCTTCGGAGCATAGGTATCTGAAGGGTCAAGTTCGCCTGAACATGAATGTTTAAGAATGTTCTGGACCAGGAAGAGAATCTAAGGAAGTTTCATGGATGACATCTGAACAGAAATTTAAAGTATGGAGGGGATAGGGTGAGGGTGATTGTACCCAGAGATAATAAGCACACAATTAACAAAAAGTTAATTTAGGTTTAAAAAGGATAACAAGAAGTTCTGACAGGACATAAGATTATGGCATTTTGTAGATAATTTATAAAGAGCCTTATCTGCCACAGTAAAAGTAAAGAAAATGAGGATGAAAAGGGGGACAAATTCAAGAGTTATTAACTTGACATTAGTTCTTTTTGTTTGTTTTGTTTTTTGAGACAGGGTCTCGCTACATAGTAGAGACTAACCTGGAAATCACTATGTAGCCCAGGCTGGTCTCAAACTCACGGCAATTCTCCTGTCTCAGCCTCCCCAGTGCAGGGATTACAGGAGTGTGCCACCACACCCAGCTCTGACATTAGTTCATACTATGAGGTGACATGTGAAGAGAAGTAGTAGAAGCAGAAAATAGGGAACTACTTAGAAAGTAATTTAATGGTCCAGCTGAGGATCTGAACATAGTGTTGGTAAAAAAGAAGGGTATGACTTGAAGAAAAGTTTTTAAGATAGATTTCACAGGACTTACTAAGTGGGTGAGTGAGAAGGGCATAGTTAGAAATACACACATAATTAGAATACCTATCTATTACAGTATTATCACAGACTACCTTTACACGCCATATATAAACATATATTCTGTGTGAGTTCTTCTGTGACTCAGACTGTAAAGCAACACAAGCACACATATCCTGGTGTTTCTACTTCTCTGAAATATCGTAACCAAGACATCTCAGAGAGGTTATTTTTCCAAGCTTTTAAGTAGTAAAGTCAGGCTATAAGCTCAGATGTTTCCCACTTGCATTACATGCTGCTCCCCGTATGTGGTTTCACTGGTCTTATTTGCAGTCTGCTGTCCCAGCATCTCATCTAGGTTAGCCATTTGTCATAGTTCTCATTTTTAAAAATGAACTATTATTTTTACACTAAAATACATTAAAGCAAAGAAGGCTAGGTTTAGTACACTTGTTTCTCCACACACATCATATATATATATATATACAAAGGTATCAGCTAGTAGTGTGTAAATGCTTTCATCCCTTGAACAAATAAAATCTGAAAGAGAGCTAGTGATAATTCCATCTTTCCTGTCTTACGCTTCAGAAGCTGGAATCTTTGCCACTGTCCCCTCAAAAGCTACTTTATAAATGCAGCCTAAGTATCTCAGTAACAAATTTTTTTGAAAACAAGTCCTTCAAAATTGGTTGCATCTTGTTCAAAACCAGCTGGAAACTCTTAATCAAAACTTAAAAGTTCAATGACTAAAGCTTAAAAATAACCTTAAGGTTTTGAAATTCAGCAAAAGACCAATTTTATTTTAGAAAAAGGTTTGCTGAGACACTGAAATGTGTATTTCAAAAGCAAAAGAAAAACTAAAATTAAATGATGAGATCTCAACACATAAGACTTAATTTTGAAAAATCTATAATTATATTTTGTAATGAATCCTAAGAGCTTGGATCTAGAGTTTTCCTGTTTTAAATGGGATGCACTTTTATTCTGTGCTGGAAAGGAATAAAATTACAGAGGACTACCATTTTGCAATATCTAAATTTGGAAGAACATGTAAAAGAATCATAAATAGGTATAATATTTGACAAGATCTGTCCTACAAAATATCAAAGAAAATACCTTTGATAAAAATAGGCACTGCCTATAAAATACTCTAGCTGACAAATTTATAATTTTCTATTAAAGAATTTAAAATATTCTCCACTTAGCAAAATTCTTCCTGAGCCTATTGGGGATGGACGCAAAAATACAGAGTAAATTGGCAATAAAAAATATTACTCTACTGCTGGGGATTTAGCTCAGTAGTACTGCCGCCTGCCTTGCAAATGCAAGGTCCTGAGTTCAATCCACAGTACCAAAAAAAAAAAAAATTAGAGAAAGTCAATTATAAAGGTTAACAATTACAAAATACAAAATGCAACTGTAATATTCTGTAGTTTTACAAAAGTGAAAACTAGTGAAATTACATTATAAAACAATTATATTGTTCAGAAAATTAGAAATGACACACTATCAGCTAAGAAACTGATTTTTTTTTTTTTCTGGCACCGGGGATTGAACTCGGGTCCTTGCAAGGCAGGCCACCAAACCACTGAGCTAAATCCCGGCCCCAAGAAACTGATTTTTGAAAACATGGTAATAGTCCAGTGTGGTGGCACACGCCTGTAATCCCAGCACTCAGAAGGCTGAAGCAGGAGGATTGCTGTGAGTTCAAGATCAGCCTGGGCTACACAGTGAGTTCCAGGTCAGTCTTAATTATATAATGAGACCCTGTCTCAAAAAAACAAAAATAATAAAAAATAAAATATAATAAAAATAAAAACATGGTAATTACCGGGCTGGGGATTTAGCTCAATGGTGCCACCACCTGCTTCACAAGTGCAAGGTCCTGAGTTCCATCCCCAGTACCAAATAAATAAGTAAATACATAAACCATGGTAATTACCAAGAATAGTTTACACTTGTGGTTCTTAACAGTCAATTACAAGCCGGGTGTGGTGGCACACACCTGTAATCCCAGCACTCAGAAGGCTGAGGCAGGAGGATTGCTTGTGAGTTTGAGACCAGCCTGGACTACATAGTGAGTTCCAGGTCAGTCTCAACTACATAGTGAGACCCTGTCTTAAAAAAAAAAAAAAAAAAAAAAAAAAA